CTGTCCTATCTGGTTAGCTGGTTTCCCCCCAAATAATGGCACTGCCGCCTTTGCAAGCAAGGGCTGCAAAAGGGCACCCCGGCAAGTGGGGGACCAGGAGTCTCCCAGGCTGGTGCCCTGCCCCGCTTTGGTGGCCTCCCTCCTTCTCTCTTTCAGCACTTCCTGCCCAAGGGCACTCACATTTGTCCCCACTCTTGCCACCTGGATGCCCTTCCTCCTTTCTTCCTCCTCCCAGCTGCTTTGTCTCACTCAAAAGGCCTCCAGCGGAGAGACCTTTCTAGGAGATCCTGGGCTCCTCCTGCAATCAGCAAGCCAACAGCCAAAGGCAAACCTACCCAACTACCACACCTCCCCCTGGAATGCCTCCTTTGGAGATGCCTTCCAGGGTCTTCCAGCACAATGCAAATATCCTAGCTCAGAAGGTAAGGCGGAGCCTTCTTCACCTCCAAGAGGACTTTTGCCTTAGATTAGGGTTTCCAGATTTAGTACTGGCGGGGGTAGGAGACACTTAGTTAAATTTGAATTTCAGATAAACGACAAATAACTTGGTAGTGTAAGTATGTCCCAAATATTGCATGGAACGGATGTACCCTGGTTCCTGGGATTATAGCTGGCTGCCCTGACCTAGAGCCTTCCCTTGAGCTCGACATGCCTCCAACTCTGTCGGGCACAGAAGCCCTGGAAAGGGCATGTTCTCAGAACACTCCCGAATGTCAGTACATCGCCTGTACAGCAGGCCTCTCCTTCGCAGTTGAGGAAGTCCAACGCAGGCCCCTCTGTGTATCGTGTTTTTAACTTGTCTGCCCACAATCTCTTTTTTTCAAAATATGTGTTTTTAAAATATTTTTTTAGAGAGACAGAGACAGAGAGGAAAGGAGATGGAGAGAGAGAGAGAGAGAGAGAGAGAGAGAGAGAGAGAGAAACATCGATTGGCTGCCTCCTGCATGCCAGCTATGGGGATCCAGCCCAAAATCTGAGCATGTGTCCTGACCTGGAATCGAACCAGCAATCTCTGTGCATGGGATGATGCTCAACCAACCGAGCCACACCGGTCAGGGCCTGCCCACAGTCTTGCAAGCAGAAAAGTCATAGCCAGCACTCAAGTTTAAAATGAGAGAAAACATTCGTCTGAGGAAGCTATCTCTATCAACTCAGTGTTTTCTGGGATTTAGCAAAAGACCCCGTCACTGGTTCCCTTGGGTGGAGTGTCTGGCCCCACCGTGCAGGCTTCACAGGGGCATCTGTGACATTCATGAGGACTGTGTTCTATGGTTCACTCTGTCCTGTCCATCCTATTATGTGAGCCTCACAGAGTCCTTTAGGGCAGTGGTGACCCCGCTTCCTCAAAGCCTTCTGAGAAGCAAAGGACACACACATTCCCAGTAAATGCCAGGCCCGGTGGTAATATCCTAGTCCAGTGCGACTTCCACCATATTCAAAGCCTGCCAGTCTCCTGTCTCATCCCCCAAGGTCTTGCTCAGAAACAGGTGTCTTGTATGGTTCACAAGTTCAACCATGTGAGGGAATGCTAATGGTTTCATCTTGTCCCTCTGAGCTGGCATATAAATATTTCCCAGGGCCTTCTGGAATTCTTCTTAAGATGAAAATCTCAGGTACTTTCCTCGTCACCTAGTTAGTACCACCAAGCACCAGACCAGGCTATGGCAAGAGCTTTCCTAAGGCTCATCTCATTCACTTCTCTTAGCAACTTAGTGTGGGAAGAAGACAAAGTTTATCCCCATTTTATAGATGAGAAAACTGAGGCTCAAGTGATGAACTGAGTTGCTGAAAGCCATTAGCTTATTAATGACAGAGCTTGGATTTGAATCCATGCTCTCCTAGTTCCCAAGGCCATGAGCTTGCCCATAGGAGGGGGTATTTGGGGGCTGGGATGAGCCATCTTCATCCTCCTTGGAGACATGGCATGCCCTGTGGTCCAGCAGAGCAAGGAAAGAGAAGGCATAGTAATCCCCCCGCCGTGCATCACCCTTTACAGTCAGCCAACCCTGTTCACAGACGTCGGTTCACTTATTCCGGAAAAGCCACCTGAGGCTGGTACAGTCATTCCCACTTTGCCAGCGAGAAAACAGGCTCAGAAAATGAATGTGATTTGCCTGGGACCACACAGCCTTTGAAAGGCAAAGCCATACTTTCATCCTGAGTCTTCTGCCTGCGGGTCCCAGCTTGGCCCTCAGGCACCCTGCAACTCCGGGAGCAGGTGGGTGGGGTGGCCCAGCCTGGAGGGCGGCTGTCGTGCCAAGGGCACGCCCACTTGTCCTGCACAATGGAGGAAATTCCAAAAGTTCTTTGGGATAGTTCAGGTGTGGCCAAGTCAACTACCCACTTCAGGGCCCCTCAGGGACCCTCCTCCTAGCACAGGCTTTTCCTCTTCCTCCCTCTGCCACCCCCAACAACCACCAGAAACGGGGTTCCCTCCCTTCCTGAAAACCCTGCTCCCCTTGGCTGCCTGGCCTCGGCTTTTCTCCACAAACAGCCACTTCTATCCATCTCTGTCTCTCAGGCCTGCGGGGCCTTGACGGGGAAATGCTGACTTTGAGGAGGTTAAAGGTGCTGGTGCCGGGCCTTTATCTAACAAATGGGTTGCCAAGAGGGGAGGAAATGTTGTTGTTTTTTCCTGGCCTCAGAAGAGGGGCCTGTCAGGAAGATGTAGAGGCCAGTGGGCCCCCAGCTGTGCCCTGCGGGGTGGCTGACAGACGCCAGCAGCTGCTGGGGCACTGGGGTGCCAGGGTCCTGTACAGAGCACCCCTGCCGGGTCCCCTCCCTGCTGCCCCTCCTGACCTCTCCACCCACCCCACCATGACCCTGGGCCTACCCCTTCCAGGGGCAAAGGGCCAGGCTGCTGGGCCTCCCTGGGCCAGATGAGGAGGCCAGAGCAGGAATCCAGTTACAGCCTGCGGGCCAGGCCCCAGAAGGTTTTCCTAGGAAAGCTGACAGGCCAGATCTTCCTCCCAGCCTCCAACGGATTCCTGCTACAGCCCCACAGGCTGGAGCCCCTCGAGGGACCTTTCAAGGCTGTTTCTGTAGAATTTCCTCAGTGCTCCCCAGTCCCACAGTCTCCTTTCAGATCATCAAGTTAAAGAGAATGAGACAGGCTAGGACGGGAGCTGCATTTATCTGTTACCTACTTCGCAGTTCACAGAAGTGATTGATTTTAAAATGTCAGGTGTTGTGGGGGAGGCATTCTGATGCAGTGGGGCCAGGCGGTCTGGATTTGAATTCTGGGCCCTCCGCTTCCAGCTGTGTGACCTTGTGCAGGTTACACAGTCTCTCTGTGCTTCAGAATCCTCTTCTGAAAAACGGAGATGATGAGAAAAGCACTTGCCTCAGAGGGTTTGGTGGGGGCCCACTGGGGGAATATGTGTAAGGTACAATGAATGGCAGCTCCCATCAGTGGATGAATGGCGTGTCATCCCAGATGAGGACATGGACACTCAGAGGGGTAAGGCAACTTGTCCCAGGACACACAGCCAGAAAGTGACAGACCCAGGATTTGAACGCACACGAGTTTCAGCACAGAGTCCGTGTCTCCACACACCTGAGAGCACCTCCTAGCTGTGTGATTCTGAGCAGCCCATGTTATCTGTCTGAGCCTCATTTGTAAAATGTAGAACATAATCCTTACTTCACCCATAATGGCAGAGTGGTGAGGTTCAGAGGAGACATGTGCATGCAACAGCTGAGTCCTGGACAATGTGGAGAGATGAGTCTGATCTGTGGCTATGCCCCATCTCTGCTGGCCTACAACGCCCTGGCTGCCCGCTCTAGAAGACGAAATGCCTATTTCATGAAGAGCGTGTGTACATCCTCCAGGCTACAGAGCTAAGACCTCTCCTTTGGAACCAGCCAGCAGAGATATTGCTATTATGGTCCAAACCCATTTCAGCCCCAATCCTGCTGCTCTGGGCCGTGGAAATATTCCGTGGGAGCGGAGCTCTGGTCCCATTCTTGGAGTGCCATCCTCCAAGAAATTACATTAATCCTCCACAGAGACCAGCAGGCCACCGTGAAGTAGACTGATTGACTGATTGAAATGGCAATTGGTCCCCTGTGATTGGCACCAGCCAGGAAAACCATGTGACCATTTGCCAAAGAGAACTCCTTTGGGAATGAGACCAACCCTGATCCCTATTTCCATGCCCCAGAGTTCACGGAAGACTTGGCCTCTGGAAGTGGGGAGGGGAAAGCAGGTGGGTGAAGGTTGGGGGGCCAGGGAACAGGTGGGGGAGGCCCGGAGAAACTTCAAGGACCTTATCTAAGAGCGTTTTCTTTCTTTTGCTTTGGAGAAAAATGACTTGAAACCCCCCTAGAGAAGAGTGTGGCTAATTGGCATTAAGTGGGGGGTTAAAGAGCGGAAGGAAGAATCTGATTGTTTTTTTTAAATTACTGAGAAAGTGAGAATGTCGCTTTGGGCAGAGAGAAATAATTTTTTTCTAGAGTATGTCTTTCTTTATACCACAGACCCTAGTGGGCCACTGAGACTTGCAAAAAAAGATTTCTTTTAATCCACCTTCCTTTCTGCAAGCCTTGGTAGAAGGGCCTTTAAATCAAACGCAATCAGCAAACTTGTCTCTTGCACTTATTCCCTGCTTCACTCCCTGGAATTTGGCACTTGATGGATTCTGGATCTGACTTAAGGCTTTTTCCAAATCCAAGACTCGGGGAATTTTGTTAACAGTGTAATAAAATAACTTCATAGTGTTACAGGAGGCACATTAAAGAAGTTGTGTGTGTGAGCTGCTCTCTCTCCTTAAAAAAAAAAAAATACAGACAATGTTTCTTTAAAAGTCTCCATCTGCAAATCCCATTAGATGTGCATATAAGGTTTCTGATGATTAATAGTTGCCTGCTCGGGTTTTGGTTGGAGGGGATCGTGTGGGTGCGGGTTAACCCCTCCCTCTCCTCTCTCACATTTCACTTCAGAAATTTGTCACTCTCTCCCCACCGCAGCATTTAAAAGTGTGTCTCAGCAGCCCTGGTCCAGCCCTCTGCAGGCATTTGCTGAGGGCTCCAGGACAAGCACTCCATCAGCCGGTGCGTCTGGGCTGGGACAGTGAAAATGTTCAGTGTCATCGGCGACAAATACACGTACAGGGGACCCCAATAGGCAGGCTGGTGTGTTGGGGGCAGGAAGCCAGGAGTGGAGTCGGACATAAGTGTGCGCGCACATATACGTGTAGCTGGCCGCACGTGTGTGGACTTTAAAAAGAGACTTTAGTTTTGGTTTTCGTTTTGGTTCTGGGGGTGAACTTTCTGCTGAACATTTTTCCCTTCTATTTAATTTTTTTTTGTTTTTTTGCATTTTTAAAAATTTGAATATAAAAAGTGTAAGAATCAAACCTTTGAAAGACTGAGGTGTGCTGCAGACGGCAGATGGATCCCGTGGCCAGCAGCTGCATGAGGAGCCCCCACCCCCCAGCCCCTGTCTGGGGCTGCCTTCGAAATCCCCACTCCGAAGGCAGTGGGGCCTCAGGGCTACCCCACTACCCGCCAACCCCATTCTCCTTCCACCAGAAACCAGACTTCCCGGCGACAGCGACAGCAGCATACCCCGACTTCTCGGCCTCCTGCCTGGCGGCCACCCCACACAGCCTGCCCCAGGAGGAGCGGGTCTTCACTGAGCAGCACCCCGCCTTCCCACAGCCCCCTGACTGGCACTTCCCTGTCTCGGAGGCCCGGCGCAGGCTCAACCCAGGCCCAACTGGGGGCTCCAGGGAGATGGGGGCCAGCAGCCCCGGCCTGGTGGATGCCACGAGAGGCCCCGGAGAGGACTATGAGGTCCTTGGGAGCACTACCAATGAGACAGAGAAGAAGTCATCCAGACGGAAAAAGGAGAGTTCAGGTAGGTGGCTGAAGAGCAGCTGATCATTCTTTTACTATGTGACCTTGGGGAGGTTTCTTGCCTTTTCTGAGCCTAACTACTCCGTGAATTGCAAACAGTATTATCTAACCTATTCAAAGGCAGGAGTTACCTTTGGGGTTTCTTCTACTCAGAGTTCTAAGATTCTCTGGTGATGGGGGCTGTGTGTGCCCCCAGCACTCCTGGGCCCCAAGAAGGATGTGCCAGCAAGAGAATGAAACAGGATCCTCAAAGATTTGGAGGACGTGTGGGCCGGAGCCTCAGTATGGGCTGGCAAGGGCTAGAGAGGCGCTTTCCTGAACCCGGGCTGCCTCTGGGTCATGCTTCTCCCCACTATGCCCTGGCTGGCTCCAAATGGTCCGAGAGCCACAGGGCTTGCTCTCCTCGGGAAGCAGATGAGATGGAAGTTCGGAGGGCTAGAACCAAGGCTGGAATCCTGGGTTGTCAGCAGAGCCAGGGCCCTATGTCTCCAGGAGCCTAGAGGCAGAGAAGCAGAACTGGGGCTGGGGTGGAAGAGGCAAGGAGTGGGGGGGATAGAGTGCTAAGATCTGGAGCAGCAGCCCACAAGGTCTCACCCAGCCTAGCTGGGTGCCCAGGCCAAGGGGGCATGCTAAGGTCTGGGTGACTCCCAGGGAAGGCCCCCCTGGGGGATTATCAGCCTTGGGGAGCGTCCGGGAGGCAGGGCAAGCAGTGGACTTCAGAATGCAGGGAAAGCCCGGCTCGGTGCCGGAGTCCAGAGGCCAGAGGATGGAGCTGGACCTCTTGTTAAGATCCCAGCTCAATTCCACCTCCTCCTTGTGGTAGGAGCCTGTTGTTCCCTCATCTCCCCTGGGGCCCTCTCCGGCTTCTCCCACTGCCTGTTCACCTTTTGTCCAGTTCCCTGGCCCCACCTTGCCCAGAGCAAGGCGGTGCCCCCGCCTCCTGTCCCCACTGCCCACCTTGTCCTCACTGCCCACCTTGTCCTCCTGACAGCCACCCTTGGGGCTTCGCCTGCCTGTCTGAACCCCCAGAGGACCTCCTAGTGGGCTAGCCAGGGGCAGGTAGGAAATGAGAGTGCCAACCAACCAATGACAACATTCCGTGCTTTGCTTTACAAAGCACCTTCAATATAGCACAGATTTCCCGAGCATCTTTTTGCCAAGCTCTGGCCAAGGCCCCAAGGATGCAGAGATGAACAAGGTGGTCTCAACACCACCACCACCACCCCCCCAAACACACACACACACACACACACACGCAGCTCAGACTGAGAGAGAGGAGAGGCCTACAGTGCCTGACAGCAGATGTGCTGCGATCGGGGACGTTCGAGGTGCAGTGCACAACACATGTTAGCGCTTGTGAGTCCCACCAGTTTTCGAGATAAGTCCAGCAGGTCTTACCAGTAGGTTCTGTATGTGTGGAAAAGGAGAGACACACAGTTTAAGAAGATCACTGCTAGAATGGAGTTTAAACAGAGTGATCCATTCATCTCAATTTGCCCAGGACTTTTCTGATTTTAGCACTGAAAATCCAGTGTCCCAAGAAACCCCTGAACCCCAGGCAAACCGGGGCAGTTGGTCACCCTAGAATAAAGCTCAAACCCTGAATTTCAGGCCCTAAATCCCACACCCGTCAGTAGATTTCAAGCACAACCCTTATTTTTAAATATGAGAATTTTGAAACATCCTTGAAGAAGTCCCTCAATGCACTCACAAAGGATGATAATGACCATTGCCTTCTCGACTGCTCAACAGAAGGGCCCTTTAAATTTCCAACCGGTTCAATCCTGAACTACTCTAGCCCTGGCTGGAGATTTGCCGAGAATGGGGCACTTTGTGCTTCTCTTCTCCAAGAGGAGCTCTCAGCGACTTGGCTCTGAGCCTGGTGGAAGAGCTACCCTCTGCGGCGCCGGCCACCATCTCTGCCCACACCTCCCTCAGCTGCATCGAGCCACTTTCCAGGGAACTGAGCGCCAAGGCATTGGGAGGGCATGGGCAAAGCCATGGGCTGGGCTTAGGAAAAATCATTCAGTGTTTCAGCGAGACCCAAATACACATCTTACCTTTTGGCCGGCGGCCCATGGCACCGCATTAGGGAGTGAGCTCGCGTGCCAAGCCGCCGACCACCCCAAGAGGACATGGACACCCTCTGCTGAATTTCCTGTACTCTTCATACGGTCAGCCTCAGGTCAGGGGGTTCTCATCCAGGAGGGGCCCTGGGCTCTCCCTTGAGGTCCCCTCAGGAGCAGCAGCAATGGCAGCAGTCACATGAGGTCTGCAGAGCACAGCAAGCTGCCTTTCATTCATTCTCTGGGGTTCCAGACCCACTCTCCGTTCAGCATGGAAATCTTTATCACCCAGTTAGTTGCTTTAAGTCTTCCTTTGGAATTTAACTGGAGAGGGAGGCAGGAAAGATCAGCTTCGTAAGAGCCTAAAAAAAGGGGAACGTGGTGGGTAAGGCTCACAACCCACTCCACAAATCTGCTCTCAACAGAAAACCCATGAAGGTCCCCTCTCCACCCGACCAAGACAGAGTCACAGGTTGGATTCTTTCTCATTTAAAAGTTTGATACTTTATTCAGCATGGATTTTTTTGCATTAATTTTTATTTTTAAAGACATTTCATTGAAATATTATTTCTCTTGATTTCCTGAGGTTTTCGGCGCCCCTTGTATTTTGCACTCAGTGCGAGCACCTTGCACACCTCACCCTGGCTCCTGCTAAGCCATCTCTGGAACGTTAACCAGCATTGATCAGAAATGTGTTTTCCACGGTGCTTCACAGTCCGGCAGACTGAGTGCAATGTCAGCACTGCAACTTTTGACTGCACGACTTTGGGAAAATTCTTAACTTCTTGGAGCCTCAGTTTCCCCAGCTGTAAAATTAAACTATAACAATAGCACTTTTCATATAGAGTGGCTGTTAAGGTTAAATGCAGTGATTCATGAGATTAACGCTGTGCCTAGTCCATGAGTTCAATAAATAGCAGCCATGAATGGTATTAGGCCCATATTTCCAGAACCAGCCTTCTGCCGAATCTCCCTATTATTCAAGGGGTCAATGGAATTGAATATTTCAAATACACTGTCTCAGAAATTCCTGAGTCTGGAGTTTAAAATATGGGAACCTCTTACAATCATTGTTGGTCCTAAGAATCCAGTTGTCATCAATTAGGAGCTCAGAGATCTGCTGGGGAGGCTGGGGTACTGATCAGGGTGGGGTCGTGGGGTGGGTGGGGTTATGCCTGGTGAATGCTTCCCATGCTGGCTGGCTGAAGAACCTCGGGAACAAAGTTATTGGAAGTCTGTTTCAAAAGGAATGCTCTCTGCTCTCCTCTCTCCTTCCTCTACCAGTCACAACTGTTCCCACTAGAAGTGGGGCTGATTTGCTCAAGTAAATGATCACAAAGCGGGGGTCCCTTGTCCCCGACCCTGAGACCTTTGGTTGGTTCACAACACAAAACTGATTTAGGAGACCAATGTGATGTTATCTTACCCCAACCACTCCCAGCCCTGGGCCCATGGGTGTTAAAGACCCCTGCTGGCAGGGACAGCTGCGAGGCCACTGTTGTTTGCCCCCAATCTGTCACTGCTACCGTGGTTGTCTTTAATTTATGGGGATGAGGGATTTCTCGGTGATTTCCTGACGGGGTTCAAGGGAAGGTCGCGCGTGATCGCCTGGCTGCAGGTGAATGTGATCGCCCACTGGGGAGAGCCCCTGTGCTCGGGCTCAGCACTGCTGGCCGGGCTCTCACGTACTCACGCGACCTTCATGTGGCTGGCTTTGTCCCATCTTCCCTCAGCTCCAACGTGTGTGCCTCCCCAGGGCTCAGCCTTCCCCACTTCTCCCTGCGAGACCTGATCCTGCCTGCCCCTGCCCAACCATGTGAACTCTCGTGTCACCTGAGGTTTAAACCCTCCACAGATTGGCCTCGTTTGCCCTTTCCCCTACCTGTTTCCCCTCTACAGACCACCCTCGCCCCCGCTCACCTTGCCACAAGCCATACCAAACACTCTGCTTTTCCTCCCTGCCAAACACCTTTTCCTTCCCCCAGTCGTCTGCCAATTACTGGCCTACTAATTTTAACATCCAGATTGAAAACCATCCCCTTCAAGAATTCTTTCTTTTTTTAAATTGATGACTCCACTTGTACACAGCATCATTTCAGTGAAAGCTGTAGTTAAGAAGTTTCCCATTGTAGTATCCACTAGAACCTGTGCTGATATTCTAAATACATGACCACATAGGAGCTCTCCTGAGATTCTTATCATGGGACATCTTGTATTTGAAATCTCCTTTTCTTTTGTTTTTATTATGGTCAAAAACACATAATGAAAATTTACCATCATAACCATTTTCATTTTATTTACTTATTTATTTTATTAATCCTCACCCAAGGATATTTTTTCTACTGAATTTTAAAGAGAGGGAGGGAGGGAGGGAAAGGAAGAGAGAGAGAGAGAGAGAAACATTGATGTAAGAGAGACAGATGGATTTGTTGCCTCCTGCACACACACCCGTACTGGAGCTGGGTATCAAACCTGCAACCCAGATACATGCCCTTGACTGGGACTTGAACCCATTACCCTTTGGTCTGTGGGCTGACACTCTAACCACTTAGCCACACCAGCCAGGGCTCATAACCATTTTTAAGTGCATGGTACAGTAGTGTTAACTATGTGCACATTGTTATGCAACAGATCTCTAGAACTTTTTTATTTTGTAAAACTGAAACAATATTCATTGAAAGAGAACTTCCTTTTCCCATGCCCAGGCCTGGCAACCAGCATTCTACTTTCTGTTTCTAAGAGTCTGACTACTTTAGATGCCGCATGTAAGTGGAATCATGCAGTATTTGCCTTTTTGTGGCTGGCTTATTTTACTTAGCATAATGTCCTTGGGGTTCATTTATGTTGTAGCATTATAACAGGATTTCCTTCTTCTTCTTTTTTTTTTTTTATCCTCACCTGATTTGCATTTATCTTCAGGAGAAAGGGAGGAAGA